TACACGAGTCATACTGGTGTTGATCGCAATCTCCCCTTTATTTTTCTTAAATTGTGATTACTTCAAGCTTCTGAGGGGTGAGTGGTACGCAGTATGCGGTGTAAGGCAACATGGGTAATACGGTGAACAATATTTTAGCTTTTTACTTTATTTTTTATTTTTTATTTTTGTTAATACTGTCCTCTAGTGTTTTTCAACCTTACCAAATGTCGCGTAAGTGATATTATGAGTTTCAATGAAGTGGCAAGTGCAGGAGGAGATTGCCCCAGGGAGAAGATATTTCTCCACAACTATATTTACATAGATGATATGTACTGATCTTAGTTTTAATATGGAGCAGGAGGAAATGCAAAAACATTGATGTTCGCTCATGTGAGCCCAGAAGGAGATTCTTTCGGAGAAACAATGAGTACTTTGAAATTTGCTCAGAGAGTGACGACTGTTGAACTTGGTGCAGCTCGTGCAAATAAAGAGAGTTATGAGGTGCTAGAGCTTAAAGCACAGGTAAACTGAGACTTTTAATCTGAGAGGTTTAACTTGGAGTTAGGATAATACTTAAGCACAATGTCATTGATTTGCTTGAACTTCTACAGATTGAGAATCTCAAAAAAGCACTCGCCAACAAGGAACCTGGGACTCCTCTGGTTAACAACTCGAAGCAGACAGCAAGAACACAATGCGAGAAACCTAAACAAATGACTGAGCTAACACCTGTTCGTCCCAGAAGGTTAAGTATTGAAAAAGCTAGCAACTTACCGCCGCAGAAAGATTATTATGACGACACAAGTGGATCCAAAACCCCTTCTGTGAATTTTCGCTCTCGGAGATCAAGTTTGGAAGGACCAAGGTACACAAACAAGGATTCTGGGCATATTAAATTATCAGAAGTGGTAAGCAAGCCGGTGAATCCAGAAACATGTTTACAAAACCACGGTCAAACACAAGAACATAAATATAGTGGTGGATCTTTGATGGACTTGACTCATCATAGGACTCCTAGGAGTCCAACAAATTCTGCTTTCAAAGGTCATGTGGTAAAATTCGTTGATACTGCAATGATGGCTCCATCTTTTCAAAATCCCAAAACACCCGAGCCAGAAGAGGTAATCAAGTTCGTGAAGCCAGTAGTACCATGCTTACAAAACAATAGTCAGACACAAGAACATAAATATGGTGCATCTTTGACAGACTCAACTCGTCATAGGGCTCCTAAGAGTCCAACAAGTTCTACTCTCAAACGTCATGTGGTAAAAGTCATCGATACTGCAATGAAGGCTCCATCTTTTCAAAATCCCAAAACACCCGAGTCACATGTGAAATCAAAGACTGGGGTTCGGAGATTGCAGCAAAATGAGAGTTCCATCTATTCTGAATTCCAGACACCTTGCTCAACTAATAGCGCTCATGGAAAGGGATCTCAGATAAGGAAATCACTACGGTCTATTGGGAAATTAATTAACGGGTCAGAGAAGAGGTATGCTATTGTATTGAACTGTGTAGTCATTTTAAGTTGCTCTTAAGTCTTCAGTTCAACGTTGCATCATATTTATCATTGCAATTGAATGGCATCCTCAAGAAGTTTAATGCAAAACACAGGAACCAACAGAAACCATCTGAAGCACAAACGCCTTTCAATGGAAACAGCACCATGTATGATACAAAGTCACCCATTCATTCCAATGCAAGGGCCCTCAGGAGACAGTCACTAACCGGCGTTCAACCATCCAGGCGATCTTCACTTGGAGGTGTTTCAACTGACTCTTGTAAGTGAAATCACTTTCCACTGACTTAAAAAGTTTATATATAATGTAACATGCGGTTAACACAAGAATTCATTCTTCTGCAGATGGAAATGAAAATAGGAATGTAAAAACACCACCTCCAGTTCGTGCTTCAGCGAAGTTAACAAAACAGTGGCTTTAGAACATTTTAGGCTAGCTGAACAGAGCTAACTTTTAGTTTTAGGACTCAATTTTGGAAAGTTCAAGAAAAAGTTCTGTCAATCTAGAAACTATTATGTGGTCATTCGTGTACATACATCCGAGGGGAAAAATGGATTCCTAGTCATATCTGGTTGGTTATTACCAGTTCAATAAATGATATGCTCTATCACAATTGTATGTTAGTTCATACAAAACATATTAATCAATGCCTTGCAGTTTCCATTGTTATATGATCGTTTTTGACATGATTTTGTCAAACCTGCTCAACTAAATATGCAAGTTGCTAAAAATGTCCCCAGATGAACTTTGTATTATTTCATTAAATTTGTAGCGTGGCATATAGCATTACGGAGGAGAGTAATTATTTGTTCAATGGGAAAAGCGAAATGTGAATTTGTTCTTTTTTAGGGGCATATGAATACTCGTTTGTTCTACAGAAAATCAAGGAAAAAAAAAGGCAGGGGACGGTCATGTGAATACAGAAATGCACTATTTAATGCAGCATGTTGTCGATACTTTATCAAAAGAGCTTTCCTATCGAAGGAATCAGTCAGGTTAGCCCGACATCTCGACTTAAGTCTCCTTCAATAGTGGTTGGAGTCTGAGCATATCGGATAATATGAAATATCATGATATGACACAGAAAGTGCTCCCTCTTGATGGTAGCACTGTCTTAATTGACCAATTAGGACAATGATGAGATAGTATAGGGAACAAGCTAGGGCTTAGATTTCGCCATGACTCTCCATTGCAATTGCACTCTCCAATAAATCAAATCCCTTTAAGCACATAGTCCTAGGTTGGAACACTATAGCTAGAAATGACTAGGACGACAAGCTCGAACTCAAAAACCTATAAAGGAGCGAAAGGAAAGTGAAAAAGGAGACTGAACTAAGAAATTTCTTTATGCTACCATACAAATTTCAGCAATCTTATGTCTTTAATCTGCTCAGATTCTAGCAATATAGCATCGCTACTTTATCTAAATTGATATTAGTTGATCAAGAAATGTCATGTCAATTTTTACCATCGACAAGCACATGTTTCCTCATATAAAAATGTTCAGTAGATCTACCACGGAATCCAACAGTAATAAAAAATAAAAATAGAAAATAATAATAATAATATGAGATTGTTTTAATACGATAAAAGTTTTATTAATTTTTGGGAGAGTGATTATAGATAGGGGTGGGCAAAAAAA